GTTTCGATTTGGCCTCTTGCCAATTATTCCATCATAATATACACGATGTGACGTACCGTTGAAATACGCATCCCTTGTTTCTGCGGCTACAAAGAGCGCATCATCGCTCGTCTAATGAAGAGAAACGAACCGGTCGACATCATCGATCGACGCGTGCAACTCTACTTCCGGATATCCTGGGATAATTCACGATAATCCCATGAGTTCCAGAACAGAATATTCGCGTGAACGGAGGGGATGAGGGAGATATCTTTTCTATACCCTCCCCTTGTTTTCGAGAGAGACTCGGCCTTTAGAGACTTCAATGACATTCAATGTGTATTAATTTTGTGGTTTGCGATGAGAACAGATGAAAAGGGAAAACTAATAAATGTTACATTCGCAATGTTGGGAATGAAATTAATCTATTGGAGAATATGCCATAACTACTTGCATAACCGTAGACCGCGAAGAGTTAAATATAGACTGATTGCTCGTGAGACACGTAATTAGTAGGATTATAGAGAGAATTATAAATAGAATACAGAATTATTAATAGAATTAAAGTTATTTCTACACGAAAACAATGTAAAAAGCTGTATAAATTGAATTGCTGTGTTAAAAATCGAATTAAAGAATCTTTGCGTACTTCACTTTGTCTACTCTGTTAGATATCAAAGAAGCAATGATAATTAATTCATAAATTAAATAATATTTTGTTATTTTTAACTTCCATCTATGTCAATATGTAAATCAGTGTCCATTTCTATGGTCAGTTTCAAACTAAACATCATCCGTATTAATGTGTATCTACACTTAGTAAATAATAAACTAAATCTGAATCAATTAAATACATTTTCTTGAGTTAAATTGTTTGACACTATTGTTTTAGTCAAATTAAATATAATATGACAATTATGAATTCAACCGTGTAAAGTGTAAAGTGGCGTCTACAATGAGATTTTAAAGCGTAAAACTTAAACTTTAAGCCTTAAGCTGTAAGAAATTGACTGACTAATTCGGTCACAGTCGAACGTGAGAAGAATAATTGACTATTAGCGTTTTCGCCTGCAATAGGTTTGAACCGATCTGGGTTGGATTAATAATGTCACACACTCTGCTATTAATTAATCTATCAATATTAGAGGATGCAGTCGGAAACGATGCATAATTGATCAATTTCTTACGGTTTATGGCTTAAAGTTAAAATTTCACGTTTTAAAATATTATTGCAGACGCTTAAGCTCAACTTTAATCTAGGTTCAATTTATTCTTGATCTTTTTCTAACTTTAAGAATTAGAGAGGGAAAAGATAAACAGTAAATTAAACGAGGATTAAAGTTAATTTGGGTGGAATCGGTCCTTAAGGAATCCTAAAACTTAAGGAAGGTAATTTTTACGTCTTAAAATCTCATTGTAGACACCGCTTTAGGCGCGGAACGCCAAGCAAAAATGACTGGAGAGCGTTTTTGACAGTGTAAACCGCGTGCACAGACGGTTTTCTGGAATCGATCCAAGTAGTGGGTGCCGTCACTGCGACTAAACGTCAAAGGGATCCACGGCTGCGATACAGAGTCACGGTTCGACCCCTGCGTGCAGCGGTGCTCAATCCCAATCACGAACAGACATCAGACATCAGAGATGTGAACGACACGTGGAGAGTAGATGAGATGTGGAGTAAAAAAAAGTCAGAGGTATCACTGAAATGAATGTTACAATCTATAATCAACGATGGAAAGTGGATTTTATCAATAAATAAATCAAATTAGAACGTAAAAAGGCAGAATAAATTTATACATTCAGAAAAAAAACAGATAAATAAAGGTCGGATAATGTAAATCATAGCAATAAAATTCGCATAAAATATTCGTGAATGTATTTCAATAAAAATAATATTTGCCGCCTTTTTGTTTTTACGTTTCCTCGCGTTTCGTAAACCTTCAAGATTTACGTGTCTTACATCATCGATTTGAATTTCTAAACAATGCAGATGCAGTAATCATCGTGACATCAGTACGTCGGAAAAGAAGGAATGATGTGTGCCATACTTCCACTCCTTTTTCTTTTCGCTCTTTTCTCTCGCTGTAAGATATGAAAAAGAAGGAATGCGATACATCCAAAATATGTCCTTAATGTCGTCATTAGTGGTGACCATTAATCCAGTGCGGCATGACGAAATATGAAAAGATACTATCGATTATATAATAATCTATTGAATTCATTAATATTTCATTAATGTGCCTGTAATAAGCATCCGTCATGACGAAAACCTTGTCATTTTGTAGACACAAAAACAATTGCTTCATTTAATTGATCACTAAACAAATTTAAATAAAACAAGTATATTTGTAAGAATAATTTTGTAAAACTAAACAGAAACTAAAGCAAATTATATACATTTATTTATGATATTTTATCATGTATTTAAAAGCGCGTCCACTTTTTTTTCGCTTATTATTTTTTTTAATACTACATTCTCTTTAATCAGCTTGAATTTTCCTTGGAGAAAATATCGAAGAATTGATAATTTTTCAGTTACGAGGCATTGAAAAAGAAAGCTTTCTCGTAAAGCTTTTTCATAAAAGTTGAAGGAAAAAGAAATTTTTCTCGTGAAAAAAACTTAAGAGAATTAAATGGAAGTACTATATTCGGATAGTTTTATAGAATTCCAATGCAGAGCTTAATTACACAAAAATATATGACGCTAAAAGATTCGAAAGACGCGACAAATAATAAGTTCTCTCTCGAGATTTTCGCTAAGGAGAATCTCCAAATGATTGAGCAATCTAAAATTGAGAAATAATGCGCGAGAAGTGGGACAGTTTATATAAAGTTGTTAACAGTCTGTTGAAATCAAGAATGGTAATCGCACGGTGAAATCGCGCATGTTGCGAGAACCATTGAAATCTTCTCATTGTCCCTATTTCAAATATCTGTCTATCACTTTGGCAAATGTCTGTCGTTGGTAGGGTAAAAAATCGGAGTAAGATCGGATAGAGAATAAAAAAAATGATGAGCGATTCTCGGATCTTCCATTTGATGCCAATATGTACTGATGAATGACAGCGCGCAGGCGAATGAGTGAGTGAGAGAGAGAGAGAGAGAGAGAGAGAGAGAGAGAGAGAGAGAAAGAGAGAACCTGCACAGGGGTAGCAAAGAAAAGTCGCGCTCGCGCGCGGATATCCGCGGCCGCGAAGCGGAACGGAACGGAGCAGAGCGGAGCGGAGCGGGCGGCGTGGCGCCGGAGCAGTGAAGTGTTTCTCACCTGAAAGTCACAGTAGATAATTTCGTTGTCGTCGAACAGTCGAATAGTGGCGCGATGCACCACCGTTACGTCGCTCTTGCTGCCGAATTTCAACATTTCTGCCCTCAAGTCGCCACCCAAATTATCCCTCCGGTCGTCATCGTCCCTTCCTCCACAGCACCACACACTGCCCGTTTATTAATCGCGGCACGCTCCACCGTCGTCGTCGTCGTCGACGCCGGTCGTCGTCGCCGCCGCCGCCGCTGACGCGCGACCGTACTCGGTATTAATCGGCGAGCTGGCACGGCACGGCGCGACGGCACGATTGCACGGTTGCGGTGAACGACGACACATCACCGTAGCGGAAGAACGCGAAGCTGTCTGTCAACCAGTTCGTCTCACTGCTGCGCCGCCGCCGCCGCGACCAAACGCGCCGTTGCCACATCTCTTGTCCTCTGCCCCGCCGCTGTCCGCTCCGCTGCCCGCTGCCCAATGCGCGATGTTGCCGTTATTCAACTATCATGGACTCCGCCCGCGCCGGATTTCGATTTTCGAATGTACGACCGCGCGTGAGCGATCAGCGAGCGATACTTGCTTCGAATCCATCGGATTGCACTGTACATACTACTATACACCGTATAATGTGTCAAATTTATTTTTTAATGATTACAATGATGTTTAGTACCTATTTTTAAAACATTAGGGATTTAATCAAATTCAATTTTACAGATTATTCTATCATTTACTTCTAATTGTATCTATGTAAAATTTTAGCACAATTTTCCGATCGGTTTAAAAGTTGTATTTAAGAATATTTGAGAATATTTAGTGTAACCACCGATGAGATACTATTAAAGACCGACATCCTTACGGGAGTTGGCGTTCTTGTGAATATTGAAGTAATTAAGAGTTAAAAACTCGAAATATTGTACTAATTTTATGATTTATTAGTTTAGTGGATATTTATGCATTGAGAACTCAATAATACTCGATTTTTCTTCAAAATTGTGATTTCAGTGCTATCATCAAAGTTTGATTATCAACTGAGATGATAACTGCAGAGAAAAAAATTGTAATTTTTCTGCAATATATAGAATATTATAGCTTTACAAGTATGCATATTTATTTATGGAATATTTATGTAATAAAAATCATAAATTTAATAATGTATGAACCAAATATTTATGTTAACAATAGCAAATTTATATCAATTGTCGATAAGCGTCGATGTTAGCGTTCTTCAATTATCTCCGGGCTCTTTTTATACCGCCGAAAATTTGCTCAGGGTTGACAGTCTTTAATAGTATCTCGTCGGTGGTGTAACATTTAGAGGAATATTGATTCTAAATGTGTACAATCAATTTTTTTGAACAAGTAGAGGGCGCTATTTGTCAAGCAATAACGATAACTTCGGAGATCTTAATTATCGTCCAACTTCACGATGATTCGTACACTTAGCCCAGTATTCATAGTTCTTATTTCACGATCGTCGTAAGTAATATTTAAAAATGCTAATATTGCTTTGTAATTGATTCATAAGATTTCAAGACATATAGTCTTAAATGTGTATACAAATCGAATCTGAATACCGGCGCCTCGAAACGCTCCATTATCAACCATCCCCAAAATGTGTTCTATCATCTATCTATAAGAATCAACTATATGAATATCGGCTGAAGTAGATATTCGACCGCTGGTACAGGTTCGAATTATCGTTCGTCGATCCGTCACAATTCGATTCGTCTCAATAGAAATTAGTTGATTCCGCCACCGCGAAGCGTCGCGCGCGCAGGACGAGAATACTTGTGAGTGGTGAAGTTGCGCGCGGGTGGGGGCGAGTCGAGGGCGTCGGACAAAGGTTGCTCGCGTTGAGCGACCGGCCGGCAGCGCATTTGCGACTTAAACATGGCAGCGGCTACTAGCGTTGTCGTGCTCGACAGGGGCAACAACACCACCTGCACCATCAATTTACACGGTGTGTGTATGTGTGTGTATGTTGTGTGTGTGTGTGTGTGTGTGTATGTGTGCGTGCGTATATGGTGTGTGTGTGGATGCGTGCGTGCGTATATGTATATATGAGTGCGCTGCGTGGAAGTGTCGCGCGCGAAATCGCAAAGAAATCCGACCGAGAATCGCAACGAGACGATTGAAAGCTCCGAAACGTTTTCGCGCGTCGCGAGTTTACGCGTCAGTCGCGCTGCCGTTGCCGCGTCCTGATACGCGACCGACAAAGCCCTACGTACGTACGTATATACGTGTCTGCGTGCGTGTTTTGTGCGAGTGCATACCTCCGCTCTCGCGGTATATTCCTTGGCGCGATTTAGGCACGTCGACGGCCGACGGCGATGTGTTATCACCGTCCGGGTGCCCCCTCACGTGTCATCGTCAGCGTGCACCCTCCGCCGTTTCCACGCGATCGCTCCGATCGATTTTCTGATCTTGATTTTCCATTTTACAGGAGCCACAGTAGTGTCCTGGCGGGTGAATAATCAGGAACAATTGTTCGTTAGGTAAGTACACACATGAGATTTCACACATAACTGCATGATAGCACATAGCACTTTGACAGACAAATCGTAATTCCCGCGATTCCAATTAGCGCGTATTGCTCTTTTAATTTTAAACAAATATATATAATGAGGCTCTCGAAAGAATCTATCAGTGAAAAATGTAAAAAAGCCCTCAGAGTGACGCAATGCATATAACTTCAGTTTTACTTTATGTAAGTTTTATATTATTGTATAATGGAATAATTTTGATAATCATCGGACTATTCATTACATAGCTAATTTGTCATTTGGATAAAGAAGAACGAGCTAAATTCTCGGGAATTATCAATTTGGAATGTGCGTTAATTACATAATTTCGATTTATATTTTATATTGATAAGGATTTGAATTGAAGGGTTGAAACGTATATTTTATTTGTCTTGTTACATTCACACGAAAAATAAAGAATTTTTGTGCATCCGAATAGCTGATGTAGATCCTGATGAGTATTTTTCTCTTTTAACTTTATTTCCTGTATTTATTCGAGTAAGGATGTATTTTTTTCAAATTATAAAATATCTTAAAGAAAAAACATGTTAAAATCGGACATGTAATATGCCTTTTAACAAGCGATACAAGTGACACAATGGATCGTTACATCCTTATTGTTTGCCAAATGTTAAACAAAGATGGCATGATCACTGTTTTACACTGTGTCGTTTGTTAGAAGGCACATATAGATTGGTTAAAATCTTGCGTAATTGTTACGCAACAAACAGACGTTTAAAAGAAAATATTAAACTTAATTAATATTAAATTTAATATTAAATCTTTTACACATTAAAATCGTGGATCTAAATTAACTTAATCGCGATTCAAGGTAAATCTAACTTTTTACGAGGAAGGATTGTCATCATAAAAGTAAAATTACGTGTAATTCATTATGATTATTTATGAAAAGTTACAAAAATCTAAAGCTCCACGTGCAAACTCAAATTAACTCAAAAAGAAGAACTATCGGTAAATAAAAAATAGCATACAGCCGCGGTTTTAGTGTTATTATTAAACCTTAATTTTAATTGACATATTTAATATTTACGCGATCAAATGTTGCTCCTTATAATCAGATTTAATCTAAATACAATAGACCTTAAAGTTTAATCTGTTTACGTGAATTATAATTAATACATTTAATATTCACGCGACCCGTATGTTGCTTCTTATAATCAGATTGAATTTAAATCGCGTGAATATTAAATGTATCAATTATAATTCACGTAAACAGATTAAACTTTAAGGTCTATTGTGTTTAAAGTCTTAGATATTTATAGAAAAATATTTTGAAAAAATGTCGATTTTTCGTGAATCATCCTGTATAGGTCATAAGACGCGATATAAGAATCGTTGAAATAATCGTTGACGCATGTTGTAAGGTTGCGCGCGAGGTTACGCATCTTAGATGAGATAGAATGCATTTAGCTTGATCATACATTACGACGCAAAATTATAGCGTCGGAAGAACATTTACGTGAGCAATCTATTGCAGAAAATCAAACGGATAAAATAATTAAGATAGAAAGTTACGAAGCGACAAATTGATGTAAGTTTAATAAATTTTTTAACGTTTCTTAATTTTGGTTTTCTTAAAATGTTGTTTAAAGCGTTCTTAAGAAAGTAAAGATTGCGTGTATTTAATGTTTAAGATAAATATTTGAATTTAAACTCTTAAAGCGAGATAAACAAACAAATTTTGAATGAGGACAAAGAAATTTTGAAATTTGGACAAAGTTTGAATTCGAAAATTATCAAGTCGAAGAATTTTCTAGTATTATTGTAAATTATCTAACAGACGTTATCGAGAAATTTTTACAATTAAAATTTTTTAACACCTCCGGTTCATGTCATCGATCTGTTGTTCGAGATTACAACATTGTTAAATTCATAATGCCAAATTATACTCAATTTGAATTATTTTTAATCATATTAAACCCGCTCTACTGCTTAACACGTCGTTAATTAAAAACTATGGAGTAGTTAAGGAAATTTAATCAGTTCAACTCAAATTTTGTCTATTATTTACTAAGTATACGTACGTTAATATGAATATTGTATACTTTGAAATAAAACTACAGAAATTTGATTTATATTTCGATACACATACTAGTTAAAAACAATAAAATATCATTTATTAAATTTAGATTGCCATTGCTCCTTTGAGCATATCTCGCGTAGTAAAAACCTGTATTATGCTAGTCACAGATTACTCTTCGAGATTGACACTTTCTAGATGAGAACAAAGTCTGCTCGCGTGTTCCACATGCGCGCAGATTGCCCAACAAATTGCTTTCAGTCGGATGAAAAAAACCGATTGCAAGTTGTCGAGTACAAGAATGAAACGATTAAAGTATCATCATTTACGAGAGCAATACATGCGCCATTTAAACTTCGACTGCTGCAACAGTTAATAATATAATCGCTATAGCAGGCATAAGCAAGCAAATATACGAATTATAGTTTCGATGGATGCAGATCAATGCCAAAATCCGTTTCGTTTGACTCACAAAAAGAGATTTCGTCGCAGTACGTGACTGATTCAAGGCTCTCGCCGCGAAATGTACCGAAACGATACGCAGTTCCAATCAGACTGAGAGCAAATCGAGTTTACTCGATCATATTTTCCAGTCATCTTTTAATTTTTTAATCCAATTTAATTGTATATTCACGATTCCGTTAAACGCGCATGTATTTGCATAGTTCGTTTACACTGAAATATTAATATCGATTTATTCAGCTTTTCCTCGAATGTTGTTTTATGACCAGTCACCGCGAGTGATGATTGTTTTTTTTTTTTTACTATGAACACAGGATGAACATCAGACTGTAACTCTCTGTATTACAAACGCGACGGCAATGCATTGAATATCTCGGTAAGGCACAAACGGCACGTTCTTCTTCTCGTTTTAGTGTACGCGAACATTGCAACTTCTCTTTGATAGGTATAAGTAATCTTCCTTTTTTCCGATCACATTGTTCATTTCGTACATTCGAAACTTCTGAAAAACCCCTTACCATTATATTACCAGAGAAATTTGTACATATTTATACGTAAGCAGTTTGATAAGTCAGTGACTTTTTAAAAGAAGAGTATGTTGAGAAAGAAGTCAAATTGTGGTTCAACAAAGTTGAATGAAAGAAGTCACTGACTGAACAAACTACCTTCGTATTTTCCCAATTTTTATAATTTCTCTCTCTCTCTCTCTCTCTCTGCCTCTCTATCTCTTGGAGAAGATGTCTCTTTCTCTCTCAAGTAGTATCACTCTTTCGCGACAATGCAATTCCGTAGCACGAGAAGGAAGAGACAACGAGAGAAGGCGCGCTCGCGCGCGCACACCTGCCGAGAAAGAACCGCGTAAAAGCGCGGTGCCCGTGACGATCGCTTTAAAAGCGGCAGCCCGAGAGCAGACGATGAAAAAACTGACGGAGAGCGAAGGCAAGGGCGCTCTCTGGACCAGTACATACCTTATACACGGGGTTCAGGGCCCCTCGTCGCTTGCCAGTCATCGGTCTTTCCGACTGTAAAGCCGCTGTCGAGACTGGGTTTTGCAATAGATCCGCGGCTATCGGAACGATGACAACGTGAAACCGAAAAGTCATCATTTCAGTTTAATTGCCGTGCCGATCGTACTTTCACCACGAGACAAACCTCGCTATTTCGGCTACGTAATAGGTACTTATATTGGAAAGGAATTGCGATGAATCACCTGGCGAATTCGGTTTTATATATATATATATATATGTATCTTTTTAAACAATGCTACATAGAATGCAATTATTTCTTCTCATACGTACTACTTATTGATGTGTAATTCGACTTACGGATATAATCGCGAGTCATCGTTCGGCTGCTGCCAGAACATGGTAGCCATTCAGGGTAGACATCGTCAAAGAATTTTAAGTAACACACGTACACAATTATACACGTACACGGCGCAAGACGCTCGGCAAACACGCTCGTAATTTACTCCAATTTCTCTTGAAACGGCTATAAAAGTTACGTCGGTATGTCCGGTCGTGGAATGATACGGTGGAATGATATCGCGATGCACCGTGCACGATGTACGAGGTATATATATTTTAATTTACGAATACTACGTGTTCGAATTAACGTTTAGAAACAAAGGTTTTAATTTCAATTAATAATATCGAAGAAATTAATGCATCAACATTGTGATGTTCGTTTACGGAGTTTAAGCTTACAAGCAACAAAATCTCCAGTGAATCTCGTATTAACTTTAATGAGATTTTCACTTGAGGCGCTTCGTTACTTATTAATATCAAATTTTACACAGAGAGGAAAAATAGCTCCCGAAATAATAACAAGAAATCATTAAAATATCCCTCAAGTGCATGTAAATATAAAATGCACCTTGTACATACAAATTATTAAATGTATTGGCTGCATTCAGCAGAAAAAGCAGCTTCACAGCAGTTGTAAAATTCTTTGACGATTGCTCTTAGTTCTTTACCGGATCTAAAATAAACCTATGAGTCAACCTGTTATACTGAAGAATTTTATAATAATTGCAAAGCTGCTTTTTCTGCTGAGCGCAGTCAATGCATTTAGTAATGATTGTCAAATCGTGAAACGCGCGCGCGCGAAATTAAGTCAGTCGTTCTGAAGCTGACCGGTTGTACTCGCGCACCATCGGTAACATGAGAGGACCACGTGCAGCATGTCGATCTCTTGGTTCTTACAATCCGACCACGGATGTCGACGTGCCCTCGTCGAACATCTGCGTCCACGACGGGGCCCAAAAACGGAAATGAAGAATCAGGACGAAGCGGCGATGCGTAAACGGCGACGAACTATAGCTGGAATTCCGTTAGCGCGATAATAAAAATAATCAGGCGAATTGCGATTTGCCGATTATTTTACGATCACGGCAATGATGGGAATAGATAACTTTTAGGCCTGTTTTTTTTATTCTCGTTTGCCACCAAATTGCACTGGAACTCTTTTA